CAAAGAAAAGGAAAACATGAAACAACAAGCCTGTTTCTAGTATTTCAGAGCAGCTGAATTTAGCATAGCTATTCGGGCATATATGATGCCTGCAGTAGCCCCAGTTCTCACTTTACAGTTCAAAAGTTGGTGCGTGCGTCATCAAATGAAAACATATCTATTTCTCTCTCTCATTACACACAGTCACAGCATAATAGTGGGCAGGAATATTAGAGTGCTGTGTGTGTTACTGTAGTATAAAGACTATGTCCTTGCTCCAATCTGGCACCCTCTGGATGTGCTAGGCATGCAACAACCAGAATTTCCAGCTAGCATTTCCAGTGGTTATGGTACTTGGGAATTCTAGAATTACAATCCCCAACTATTTAGAAGATGGTAGAATGGAGAAGGCTTATGTATAATGAAAAGTTATGTATAAAGGTAATGGTAATACAAACACTAGATTGCTCTTAAACACTTGAGGCCCAAATACATTTTAATTTCCTTTTGTTTATCAGCTGTTATGCAGTTATAAACAGATAACTGCCAATTACACAAGAGAATTAAACTTACAGTAATTCTAATTTTAAATGTATACAAATAAAATTTGTGAAGTTAATTGATTGACAGAGCACATCGTTATGCATGTTAACTAAATGGATCATATTCCTAAGTAAATGTGCATACAAATAATGCATTGCTGAATTAATAGCTTTTTGGATAAAAATTTACAGGAATAATCCATTTAAATTTCAAATTCTTGTTAAATATAATTTTGTTCTCTTCCCTTCTTTCTTCCCTATAATGGAGAAACAGCTTTTGCATTCCTTCCAAACATGCTTTTAATTCCACCCCCACAATTCAATCACTTTTAAAAAATCACTTAAGAATTTCATTATGTACTTAAGTGCCATTAATTTTGCTGGGATTCAAGGACACCCAACTTTCTTGGCATGGCATCCATTGTGTTAATTGTAAATTGTTCTGTTATAGGTCCATTACGTCTGGCAGATAGCTACTCTTAGTGCTCTCTCTTTGACAGAGCAATCCATCCATCTTGGCAGCCATCAATTTATCATGTTCCATTTTGATAGCTATCTATCCTCTCACTCATCATCTTTATGAGGTTGTCTGACATAAGACTTTTCTGATGCATTAAGAAATAAATGAATGACTGCATGGGCTGGCGAAGTATAGATGAGTGAATAAATGACAGGTTGGTACAGGTATGGTTCCCCCACGCACTCTATCGAATCAAAATATCATGTTTTAAAAACTGATATTATAGAAAATGATAGTATATCCCATTCTATGATAAGCTAGATAGTAGGGCTGTCATACTCCCAAAAACAATTTGGAGAGGAATATGCTTTGGACTTTACCCAAGCATGGGACCTTTCTGCTTATATGGCATGTATTTTTTTCAGCCTTTGTATGAACTTGAAAAAATATGAGGAAGCTTTACTGAATGGAGTTAAAAAGCTCATCCTTAATGTAATACTTATGGAAGCCTGAAAGCAGGTGTATGATTGCTTTGGTGCTGTGCTTATTTTTGCATAAAGTCAAAGCAGATCTTTTGAATCATTATTAAAGTATATACAGCCCTACTAAATAATACAAAATGATTTATGATTCTCTATGTCAAGGGCCATCTCACCCTGTGCTCCCTAAAAAAGTTTGAAATCTCTGTGGTTTTGTTTAATTGTGCTTCTCTTATGTGATTGTCTTTTAACAAAGCAACACCATCAAATTGTCGTTGTCATCATCACCACCATCACCACTGACAATGGCAAAAACATCGATTTCAGAACTTTTAAGACAGTAGACATGTAAATATCTTTCAGCATGCTTATCTCAAGCTTAGGAAATAAAGAAATAAAAGAGCAAACAAAAAAGTGAAACTATGGGGGGAGGGGACTACAAAACAACAGCAGGTTTTCAGGCAAATGAACTTCATCACATCATTGGGCATGCACTGGTTTAACAAAAGCAAGGCCACTGTTGTCTTTTGTGTTAAAGGGACTATCTTCTTTCGATAGAAAGAGAAAGTTATCCACTCTTTAGACTAAATATGTTTACATTTTTTAAAAATCTGTTGTCATAGACACTGATCACATTCAGGGGTTTCAATCATTGTTTATTATTCTGCCACCTTAATTATAAAACATAGCACTAACAGAATGTTTTAGGTCAGTTTTATATCTAGGGATCCATCAAACTAAATTACAATTTAGCAATCACATCTGACTATTAGTCTTGGAGGTTATTACCTCCCTGGTTAAGGTGTTTGGCTAGAAACTGGGAGACCATGAGTTCTAATCCAACTTAGGTACAAAGTCAGCTGGATAACCTTGGACCAGTCACTTTCTTTCAGTTCAGGAAGGAGGCAATGGTGAACCATTTTTGAAAAACCTTGCCAAAAAATCAGCAAAAACTTCCCCTTGCAGTCTCCAAAAATCAGACATGATTGAATAGAAGAAGAAAAAGAAAAAACGCACTTCACACTTTTTGCAGACTTTAATATAGGATAGCCTTGTTTTCAGTTTAGGACTGAAAGGGGCATTTGTAATTATGCTCTAATTTAAACTTCTCATCCAGGTCTACCACTGGTATGTTTTTGGTTTTCCTATGGTCTTAACTAGCAATACCATTCATGTCTAGGAATCTATCAGCAATTTAAAATTCTCCAAAATAGGACAAATTGGTTTAGGAACACTATCTGAACAGTTTGAATTACATTCTCACTGATCCAGTTTATTTCTCTTTGTTTGGGTAAATTTCTTCAAACCCTTCATCCTCTGCCATGGTTTTCCTTATTTTACTCTTATTTATACATTTAAAAGGATGCCTTCCTTTAACACATTATCATCTTTCTCATATTTAGAGATTAATATGTGTGTATGTGTGTGTGTTGTTATTTTTATGATTAGACAACCATTAAAAAGGTTATCTTATTAATGGGAAAATAAATAACATATTTACCCAATGTATGCTTTTGAAATAAAAAACAAATCTGAAATTCAAATCTGAAAAAAAAATCTGAAATTAAAAACCAATTCTGAAAACTCCTATATGGTTGTCACCCAATTCTTTTTTTCTAGAAGAGATAGTTTAAAAAAGTAATCTAAAGTTGATCTAGGATTTGCTAAATTATAAAACTGGACCTGATATGTTTTATTTTATATCATACCCAAGCTGTGGAAAAAGAATCAACTTTCTAACACAACTTGTGGAACTTAAACAAATTTTTCCTTGAGCAAAATAATACTATCATATTCAAAAATCAGATTTAAAAAGGCTGATGACAGAAACTATGTGCATTATGAAATATGTGAAGTTTATCTTTTAACTGAGGAGTCTCCAAACTTGGCAACTTTGAGACTTGTGGACTTTAACTCCCAGAATTCCTCAGTCAGCCAGGAATTCTGGGAGTTGAAGACCATAAATTTTAAAGTTGCCAAGTCTGGAGACTCCTCTTTAACTGATTGGTATGGCATGTGGAGATAATTTCTCAACACTGGGCAAAATTTCAGGGACAAATTTCAGTATGGTACACTATAAACAAGTGTATATAAAGGGAAAAATATCTGTGTACAAAAATTATCCTATTGACAGACTCTGTTGGTTGAAACCATTATAAGTTAACTGAAATGAGATATTTGGACTTAACAATAGTTAACTTCCTGTAGAATACTCTTATTGTAAGCTCTGTCTTTATTTCAATAAGGTTTGAACTATATCCCATGAGGAATGTTTGCAATCAACTTTCACTGGGAAGTGGTTAAGTAGTTGTAGAATCTCATTAAACTATTGTAGTATATTTGTGAGCATATTTGAGTTGTTTCTTCTAAGGACTAGTATATTACTTTGGGAAATCAATGGATTTGAGAACTGTTAAACTGAAAAGAAGCATGCTTGCCCTACATATCTAAAACAATAGTTTCAATTTAGAATGCCCACATAGAAAATGGTATTGCATATAGATGTATATTTTTTGCAGTTGGATTCATCCTTGTGTTTAGATTAAGATATGCATCAAAAGTCCATAAAATTTTATTCAGAAGAAAAATCACTTGAGTTCAATGAGACTTACCTTTAGGGTAAGTATAAGATATGTGTAGAGTGCAACCAGAAATGAGAATAGCTAGTCTTAAAATACAAATTGATTACCTGTGGCTACACTCTTAGCATTCTCATTAATGCATCAATTAAAAAAAAACTGTATTTGCAGGTCCGTTCTGTTGATCCAAATGGGAATCGGTTATTGCACCATGCAGCAATATTCCATGGCATGCTTTTTTATATTATGTAGACCAGTATTTCTCAACCTTGGCAACTTTAACATGGCTGGCTAGGGAATTCTGGGAGTTGAAATCCATATCTTAAAGTTGTAAAATTGAAAAACACTAGTGTAAACTATATTGAAACAAGGTGTATTCTGAAAAATACCCATCATTTTTTCACTTTTCCCTATAGAGCTGATATGAACATTTAAATGCTATCCTTTAGGATTCAAGGGTTGGAGAAATAAATACCCAAAACACATTAGCTTAATTAAAATAATGAGGAGAGTCATAACTGTAACATTGTTTAAAAGGGAATAGGATAACTGAAAATAATGTTTGAATAATTAGATTTCTAAACAAGTTTAAGACAACTTTGATGAGATACAGATGTAGACTATACTATTTTAAAATAGTTCATGCAGTGGTTATGTAGCTATAATACATGTTTCATTTTCCTTTTTGGTTTTTTTAAATGGTGTCTTAGCTTTTGCTTTTTGCTTTGATATTTTTTTATAGTAAACTTTGAATTTCGTCCCTTTAACTTTGTTTTAATAGCAATGTATTGTAGCATGATTTATCAACATATGGCAGGTGGAAGTTGACACAAATTATAATGAAAATTAAAAGGCATTTATGCAGCAGGCGATTCCAGTTTAAGAAACATTTATTTGCAGGCTTTAAAAATGAGGGTTTAGAATCAAATGGATTTAAAATGAAAGTTTTAACAATGGTTACCTTTTTCCTGTAGCCATTCCTCTACGGGTCGGTTATATTTGAAGGGGCTTTTCTGTTTTACCAATTGGAACGCAGTATCAGTGTTTCCTTTAAAGTTTAAAAAACAGCTTAAAAACAATCTGAAAAGTCAATGAAATTGTTAAAAAAATAAAACATTCTAAGTTACTTTGATTTATTCATTTAGTTATGAAGGAATTTAAACAAACACGAAGGTATATAGTTAGACTTCTTTTAAAATGGTAGAGAATAGCACACTGTCATTTCTTGGAATTCTAGAAAACTTTCCCATGTTTCAAGCATGTCTTTTATGAAGAGTAGATTTAACATGGAAATCCTTTCGATCAAACATATAATTTTAGGAATCATGCTCGCTCACTTTTCTATACCCATCAAGATCATTCTGTATTCTGTGCCTGTTTTCTTTAGTAGAAATTCCTCCCACCCTCTGCCTTCCTCCAAGCTTTATGTTTACCTGCAAATTAGAAAAAGTATATTTACTATCTTCTCATCTAATCCATGCCATTCCCTTGGTCTACTGATCTAGTCACTTTGCAAAATAGTACAATTTGTCTAATACCATCTAACACCATCTATTTTTAACAACACCTTGCTATCTTCTTTCTACTTATTTGCAAATCCACTGCTGGATGAACTTTCTAGGATTTTTTCCAGTGTTAATGTCAAATTGATTGGTCTGTAGTTTTCTGTTTCTTTTTACTGTTTTCCCTTTTTTAAAGACTAAAACAAGATCAGTTCTTCTCCAGTTTTTTGGCACTTCCCATGCATCACAGGACATTTCAAAGATTGCAATAAAAATATATGCTTTGAAACAGACCTTTTCAACTTGATGCTGTCCAGATGTTGGGAACAATAATGCTCAGAATTCTCTCAAATGAGTTGATATTGTAACCTCCAGAACTTCAGCATGAATACTAAAATCTCCAGATAAAATAGGACTACTATTCTCAGAATGGAATTGTAGTCCATGGATCTAGTGACTTTTGATGAAAGGTAAGATACGTACGCATATACAGGTTCCAGCTTCCCTTCTCAAACTATTATAGCTAAGAAATAAAACCTTCATTCTGCTGGGCTCAGATCTCTAGAATAATGAGGCACTATTTCAATGTTTAATGTTTGTTTTTACATGTCTGTGTGGTGAAAAATATTATATGTACTGAATTTATAACTTTATAGCAGCGTATGTTAGATTAGTAGTTTTGCCGAAGATGGTTGTAATAGCAGAGATGTTTAAGTGATGTGGCTTACTTTTCCCTATGCTTTCTATATAAAATAGTTTATCTTCAGAAGGCTCTACGACTAGTTAAAGCTTTAGCTCTTCCAAAAACAAATAAGTCTCTAAATCTCACCCCACCCCACCCTTAATTGATCATGTCCTCTACAATTTAGCTTGAATGCTATATCTCTCCTTTAGAATTGTTTTGCCAAGACCAGGCACATGGAAGGTCAGCTAGGATGAATAGGCTGGTACTGTCTCACATAAATTTTGATAGCTATTAGGCAAGAAGTACAAACAACACATACAACATTGTCCAGCATCTCTAGAAAGGAGGATAGATAGATATAAACCAAGGACAATATCTTAATTGAAATGTCCTTGGCAATTATTCAAATGTTTCAGGTTCATTCAAACTGCTGACAAGTTGTATCACTGAACCACCTCCAGGTGCTGTGTTATTTATATCACCTATATTTTGTAAAAGTATAAAACATGACAAACACTCTAGGTATTTTGAGTCTCGGTGTATACCTAGGAAGAGTATTTTAGCCAGGAAAAGTAGACAGGAAAAATATTTTGCAATGTCTGCAACAATCTAGGGGATTCTCTATAGCTCCTTTTCATGAAGAGGAAGGCCTCCTAGCTATCACAGGGATATAAATTCTGTCCTTATTTATAGTTCTTTATGGAATATTGTCATGTTTTTGTTATTGCCTTATATGTAGATATTTTTCTATTTATTTTATGCTTTGCTGTCAAAGTCATTCTTTTGCTTATGCCATACTTAATGCATTCTTCAGCTTCTTCTTTTTCTGCTTCCAGATTCACCTTTGGCAAAACCAAAAGGTTTGGGGTGCCAGTGAATTATTTGCTGAATATGAGCAAGTGATGCGATGCAGCATTTAAAAGCGGTAATGAAAATCTGTGTTACATTAATAAAACTATTGGGCTAGCTTATCTGAGGTAGCAGTTCCAATTATATTCTGGCTGGTTAGGCTGCATTTCAAATATAGCATCCAGTTCTGAACACTGAACTTAAAAGTGACACAGAGACATTTAAGCAGGTTCAAAGGATTTCTACTCAGATAATAAGGGTTTTAGAAACTTCATCCTATCATAAATGGTTAAAGAAGTTGGACATACTGTATTTAGTCTGCAAAGGAGGAGACTGTGGGGAGATATAATAGTTGTTTACAGATATCTAAAAGGACATCATGTGCATGACAGAGTGATTCTGTTCTTTGTTGAATCCAAGGGCAGGACAAGAGCAGACTAGTAAAATCAAAAGGAATATGAATATGAGGAAGGATTTCCTGATGGTAAGACCTGTCAAGCAAAAGAACACTGATTAGAACAGAGGTGAATTACCTCTTAGAAGCTTTCATATTGATGCTGAAGGGTCATCTGTCAAGGATGGTTTAGTATGAACAAGAGATTTGAGAACATGACCAATAAGAGCTCTTCCAGCTGGCATATTCTATTATTCTATAAAGCAAAGAAACCAATTGCTGCAACTAAACATCTTTACTTCAGCAATTGAAATAGGACAATTTTCTCCACCACACTAAAGGCAGAAAATTAATTTAGAATTTACAAGGCAGTCTTTATGACACATCAGTTTTTTTGTCATCTACACCTTGTCACATTACTATATTCCTTAATGTCTACTACTTTGGATGGCTGTTTCATTCCAGCTAATGGTTGGGTTGGCCCTGCAAATCCTAAGAGATATAGGTGCCATTAACTATAACTTAGAATTCAGGGAGTAAAAAAGCAAGCTACTAGAAGATGAAGAAAGAAGATCCTGAATGAAAAGAAATATAGCAGATCAGTGTACAATGTGCAATCCTATTAATAACACTTAGATTTAATTAAATTAAACTTTATACAACAAGCAATTGTCTTCTTCAAACCCAGGAAATGAATTGCTAATCTCTACCATCTCTTTCAAAATTTTGATTTTAAATTTAAGTTTATATTTTTATTATGAAAGTCATTTTATTTATACACAATAAGATACCATTAATATTGGGGGGGGGGATTGAAGGACTTCTGGAAATTCAACAAAGTTTAAATTGTAACATTAGAATCTTTTCATATTCCTTTTTATTTATTTATTTTTCATTTATGTCAACCGTTCACAAAACTGTAAAAACATGTGCATGAGAATGTATTCATTTTTATACTTTATAGACAGGAGTGAATTAAAGGCATGTTGCTTACAATTATACACAAGCAATATAAAGTAAAGAAAGCACTATAATGATACCAATTACGAACATCAAATTCATTAAACTATACTGTTTTTAGGAAGCAGCTTAGATTAAAATAACATAGATCTCATCAGGAACCAACAATGCTTTTACTTTACAGAAAACTATATAATTATAATTTACAAATTCATTGGATAGTTAACCTGGAACTCTTAAGAAAAAGAAATTCATTATACCGGCACAAAAATTCCATGAACATAATAAGCATTCAGTCATTTATATTTTATATTTCATAATCTGATTCTTAGGAGAGAGAAGATAAAAGTTTGTAAATGCTACATTTTTCATTTTTTACTTTTGCTACTTATGGCTAAAGATACATCAGTGGCTTTTTCCATTTGCTAATGGATATTTGAGCATTGTAATTGCTTATTTCCAAAACCTCATTGTATCTGCTTAAATTATCAGTGTAAAATTACAGAAAAACAGAGAGAGTAAAAAAGAGAAAATCATTCAGTTTTTTTGGAAAATGACTTTGGCAACTTTAATGCTTCTAAAAGAAGAAGTTACATAAATATAACTTATGCATTGTATGAGAGAAAAATTATAACTAAATGGCACTTTATAAGGATAAACAATAAGTGTTATTTCCTTTCTTCCATTCTATAAAGCTACATAAAAGAAACAGAAGTTACACATGCATATTTCCTGGCTAATTTAAATATGTAACTATGACTTATGGTTCTTACTGGTGTGTTGCTTCATTTATCTCATTAAAGATTTCACAAACAAGCTAGATTTCATTACACAAACAACAGATTGTTTTTGTCCTCATTTTTCCCTTAAAAATCAGGCAAATTTCCATCCAAATAAAATTTGGTCCATTAAATCTATTCATACATCAAAAAAGAGTTTCTAAACCAAAAAAATAAAAGGGCTGTTTCGATAATGCCAAATTTTGCCCCTTGATGAATGTGTAATGATGAAATGGTGTTATTGAAGTAAAGCGGAGTAGCATAAAGATTCCAACAATTTCTAAAAAACAGAATTAACAAGTTTGCTTTCAGGTGGAATGTTAAGTTAATCTGATAAATTATGACATCTTTGAATATACTAATAAGAAACCTGGAGAAAAAAAATAATTTTTCCTAAGGAAGGTAGTACAATATGTTTTAAAGACACTTTAACTTTTCAATCAGCTGTGTATAAGATTATGTTGTACATAAATAATGAAGGCCATAACTTCAGAAATAGATTAAATTTATTAAAGAATAACAAGATTTATCAATAACTATTACTCTTAAAGACTAAGTAAATTAATAAAATCCATATTTGCTAACAATTAAAACAAATAAAAATTGTTGCAGCTTTATGACCTGTTTATATGGCATGAGTTGGAATCGCTGATATTGATTTCCCGTATAATACTTTCGTTGTCAGCTTTACAATCTTTCTTATGCTTATCTTCACAAAACATTCAGGGGGAAAAAACCAAAACTATTATTCTCAATTTATATTTGCAATACTGTATGACCAAGCAACACAAAGTATTCATTTTAGCAAAGCTGGCATATGAACCAGACTTTGTAGCTCAGATCTAGTCTTTGTATTGCTGCAATATGAATACAAATAAT